AGTGGCCTTGCAGCCATAGAGTGGGTTTTAGGACCTTAACATCTCTGGTAGACTACCGGCATCACTCATTCAGGACATCTCCTAGCCCGTGACATCATCCCCGCTCCTTCTTCCAGTTACCGGCCAGTGTGCTGGGATAGGTTCTCACCACATCTAAGGAACCAGTCGGTTTCATATGTGCATTCATAACTCAGCCTAGAATTAGTCCCAAACTAATCTTAAAATGGCCAAGGAAACACCAAAGCTTTATATTTAGGCATTATTGTCACATAGCTGCAAATACAGGCAGTTCTGCTTAGCAGAATAGTGAAGCATATATTAAAAAATAAAACAAATGAGCTGACTCCTCTTTCTTATAAAGGAGTTGCATTTTCCAGGAAATAATTTATGTTAGGAAGGAATATTGTTAACACTTGAAACACACGCTGGTAACTTCTTCTAAGGAAAGAGATACTTCCATATGACCAATAATTCCATTTCTAAGTCTGGCCAGGGAAAATAAAAGTATCTAAAAAGACTTGTACATAAATGTTCATAGCAGCTTTATTCATAACAACTAGAAGCTGGATACAGCTCATCAATAACTGAACAGATAAACACATTGTGGTACTGCCATACAAGGAATCCTACTTGGCATTAAAGGAACATTAATGATACACACAACAGGCAGGAACTCAAACTTGCTAAGCAAAGGAAGGCGAGACACATAAGAGTGAATACCATAGGATTCCTTCATGTCTTCAGTAGAAAGGTAAAATCATTATGGAGATAAATCAACTGAATTGCTGTCTGAAGTGAGGAGTATAAGAGGTTAGGAGAATTGACAGCAAAATAGGGAAAGGGAACTTTGGGAGCAGAAAAATTGAAAATTGTTATAATATCATGATGGTAGTGGTTCCACTGGTCTAGTTCTATAGTATAGTTGTGGTAGTGGTCTTCATGGTCTAGTTCTATAATATCATTGGTAAGTGGTTCCAGTGGTCTAGGTTCTATATATTATTGTGGATCAGTGTTCCATGTTAGTCTATATATCTATTGTGGTAGTGGTCATGGTCTGATCTATATACTATTTGGGGTAGTGGTTCCCAGGCTAGTTCGTATATATTTGTGGTAGGGTTCGCATGGCTAGTTCTATATCTATGGGTAGTGGTTCCATGTCTTACGTTCATATATCTCATTCGGGTAGTGCCATGGTCTAGTTTAGTATATCGTAGGTGGGTTCCATGGTCTAGTTCTATATATCTATTGGGGTAGTGTCCATGGTCCTAGTCTATATATTACTTGGGGTAGGGTTCCATGTCTAGTCGGTAAATATCTATTGGGGTAGTGGTTCCATGGTTTAGTTCTATATATTTATTGGGGTAGGTTTTCCATGGTCTATAGAATTTGGAAAACTCACCAAACTAGATATTTTAAGTGTTTCCATTTGTTTTATGTAAATTTTTAGCCTCCAATGAAGTTGTTAAAAATCACCAAAAGGGATGGAAGGTTTCAGCTGTAGAGTGATGGGCTTTGGCGATAGAGAACGAACGGGATCTATCAATCGCTACATGCAGGGCCATCAAAAAGCATCTGCACTCGACTGTTTATGGCAGCCCACAGTTCTCTCATAGCAAGGAATGTGGAACACCAAGCCCTGTCAATCATGAGTGATTAATAAAATATGTATATGTATACCAATGGACATAGCTACTGAATATATAGAGATGATGGTGATCTTGCCCTCTTACATTTCCTGGATAGAGCTTACGCCATCCCCGAAGTGATGGTGACACAAGAATGAAGAGTAGGCTGCCATGTACTATTGTACTCTCCATCAAACTGGCACTGACTGATCAACACTAAGGTGCCACACTGTACTCATACTTTGTCCGGGTAGGGCTGAGGGTGGGGTAAACTGCACAATTATATGATGTGGGAGCATTGGGGGAAAGGGCCATGTCTCAAGTCATGGGTTCGATGTGGCAAGGTCATACCTGTAAGTAAGTTTGTCCCCATATTACCTGAAACAATAAAATGAGAAAGAAAGTGAAAAAAAAAAAAAAGAAAGAAGAGGAAGGAAGAAGAGAGAGGAGGGGAAGGAAAAGGATAGCGAAGGAAGGAAGGAAGAAGGAAGAAGGAAGGAGGAAGGAGGGAGGGAGGAGAGGAGGGAGGAGAGGCAGGGGAGGGAGGAGGGAGGGAGAAAAGCATTTAAATATTGAGTGGAAACAGAACTGATCTGGGAGCAAATACATGATTCCGCTAAGTAGCTTAGCATGTAAAAACTTGGTTTCCTTTAATGTCTTGTCCCTGTCGATTTCAGTTTTTCAGAGGGAAAGGTATGATATAAGTTTAAAGCATTCTTCACTTGAGCCAGTTTGAACTCCTGAACTTCATTCAGTTCCTAAATATACCAGTCTCTCTCTCAGTTCCTGGCCTTTGCCAGTACATTATTTCCCCCTGTTTTGGTCTCAGCATGAATGTCAGACTTCACAGAAGTCTTCTCTGATCCCTGAATGAGATCGAGTGATCTCATGGTCTGTATACTTCCTCATCAAAGTTCTGAGGTTTAATTTCTATTTAGTCATCCAAATTCCCCCTAACACCTTAAGCTCTGTGAGAATAAAAGCCATGCCTATTTTATTTGTTTTATATCTGCTGTCCTAGAACAGAATCCACATAGCTGATCCTCAGCTATGTTTGTGGAATGAATGAATACAATGAATGAGCAAGACTGTGTAAAAATCCTTCTATCCAAGGAAACAAGAGTTAAGACCTTGTTCCTATCCTGAAAGAGCACACAGCTAAGGTCAAACTAGAATGTCTGTAATATAGGCAAATTAACCTTCACAAAAGTGAGACAAAAAATTCTGTAGGTATTCAGAGGGAAATGACAGCACATTAGAGATAAGAAAAGGCTTCTTGGAAAAGGGAGCATTTGAGACAGGACTTCAAGGAAGCTAGAACTTCCATAGGCAGAGATCATTAATATGCAGTTAACATTCAATTTATTGTCAACCTAGCTTGTACAGGAAGATATTAATAATTGTTGTTTTAAGTACTAAGCTAGTATTAGTAAGAAGACAAGTAAGACATGGTTCCTGCCTTAAAAGGGCCAGAGATCTAATGGGGAAACATACAGATATACTAAAAGGTATGGATAAGGCAAAATGTATTTCCTGCTAAAGTTAACAGTGTAACCAGAGTGAGTTGCAGCTCACAGGAGAGAGGGCCCAGGGTAGAACCAGAGAGGAGCTATCAATTCTGACTGGGTGTCTTTTCCACTAGGGTGGAGAACATTACAGCAAAGCCCGGCAGCTATGGATTTTACTGAAGTTCTTGGAACTTGCCTTTGTTTCTCTTGTTATTTGGCAACTCTCAACTGGCTCATGAGATGGTCACCACCGGGAACAATTTTTTTAAAGGCTAAACTATAAATCTCCCATTTACACACAGACCACACTTGTAAAACTTTCCTCCAGTCGGTTGCCTATTTGGACCAATGACCTTGGTATGTTAAGAGCATTTCACCCAAATTTCACCTGACCTGTATGTTTGCTGTACCCTCGTGTGCTAATCACTGGACTCAACTCAAATAACTCCCAGGGACATTCTGAGCTGGTTTCTTGCAGAGGGAGCTGTGACTGGTTAGAATGTACTTTAAGTGAGATCTGTTTATTGCCCCTTTCCCTCTAGCACTCTCACCTTGGGAATTACAGGCTGTGCTGCTCTGTGGTTCCCCACGGTGTATATGCCAAATGGCTTGCCTAGCCCAGCTGGCTGCCTCAGCCCTCAGGATCCTCAGATGTTGCTCAGCTCCAGCGTGAGTGGAAGATTTAACAGAGAGTGAAGAGGTTTATTGTCTTCAATTAACCTGAAGCTGATACATGGATTTGCACTCTTACCTTGAGCTCTAATGCACCAGCTGTATGTGAGTGTCCCCGGGATTGGAGCATCAATCAAGAGTAACTGTTGACATCACAAATTCGATGTTTCTGGAATCATCGGCATCATCACCTTTAGTTAATGACCTTTAATGCAGAACACTGGAAGGTATCATGCCAATATTAAGTAGCAGCTTCTGAAAAATGTTGGCCCATACATCAAGGCCCATGCACTGTTGCACAGTTGATAGGATGTCCTCCCCAAAATATTCCTGGAAAGATGGGAAAGTTGATAGTGAACTTATTTCTTATTGGAAGAAGGAGGTTATGAGAGACAAGATATGCTGCTAAATTACCTGTTGACCTAGTACTACAAATGGTATAATGTGATGAGGATATCATGTCTAAATGCCCAAATTCATGTAGTCCTTATCATGGGGAGTAATGCAATTTACAAACACCAGATGATAACCATTGATCCATGCTATTCTGCTTTGCAGATGAATTTCGTTGCAAAGGTCAGAAACATTATTAGTTTAGGGAAGGAAGAAGCTATACACACTAACGACACAAAAACATTCATTTTCTTGTTAATTTAAGCATAGCTGATGCAAACTCATCACATCTGGTGTAAAATATTTCGCGGCAGAAATAGCATTCTCCTTTTGTTTCTGGTGTCCTTGAATGTGACCAGCCCACCTGAGACCACCATGCCTAGTGAGTCCTTTCTAGGTTGGAAACCAGATGAAAATCTGTAGGAAAACATCTTCCCCATAAAAAATAAATAAATCTGTGACTTATGTAAAAGGCTAATTAATGGGGACGGTTTTGCTTTTATTTATAATCCTTCAAAAGAGATACACCAATATATTAATCTCTTTTCTCTCAGATGTGTTGCAAATATCTCCTCACGTTGTACCATTTGGGTTACCTTTACCATGTAAGTTTTTAATCTTTATGTAACCTTGGAGTTCTGAAACTTTAGTTTTTATCATAGGCACCCTGAGAATTTGTCAAACCAGATTTCTGAGGCAGACACTCAGAATCTCTGATTCAGTACATACGGGGGGTCCATTATCATTTTTTTCCCCTGAAAAAGAGTTTGAGCCTCTCTTTCATAAGGTAAAGGAAAATGCATGCATTGCTATCAAAACATTTCCCTAAAGGGCAGTCAATGAATGTGTTTATATATAGGTTGTAGTGAATTTGACAAGAAGTCACATTAAAGAGAAGGATGACTGGAGAGAATCAATTTACAACAACATAGGCACGTCCGCAGGAAAAACAGATAAATAGTTCAGTGGGTAAAGAGCATGATAGTACCTAATTGTATCTGCAATAGGAGGTACATTCTTAAATAATACATACATATATATATATAAAGATTCTCGTACAAACCTATTGGCTGAACTAATTGTCATAGGATGTGCAGTGTATCCCGGGCGTGGTCCAGATGCAGGCGGCCATGGGACCACTTGCTCTTTACAGATTCTGTGCTTAATGCATCCTCACCCCTCTATTCTTGGTCCATATGATGGCTACCATTTGTAAATAGTTTTGATATTAGAGTTCATAGAGTGAAATTTTTTATGTGATTAGTAAATATGTAGTACTTTGATATTTTGTTAAGATTGTATATTAATATTGAAAATGAACATTCAATAAATTCTGAATATTTTTCTTAATGTTCATTTTAAACTATTATTAATATGAATCTTCTCAATGTCTGAGACAACAAGGTAGAGATATTAATGTACTATGGTCTAGAACATTCTCTGACACCATACAAAACATACAGCGAAAGTCTTATGTCAGAAACTTAAGTTACATTTCATAAAAACAGGACTATAATGTTTTATTCAGATTTATACTCAAAAAAGGAATAGCTGTAATCATTAGGAAGTAAAATGTAAAAGCACATATTAAATAAATTCTACTTTAAAATATTTTCAGTAAAGTTTCTGAAACAAATTTTATCAATGTATTGGTAAAATGAAAAAATAGAATAAACCATCATAATCTTAACCCTATGATTAGGTAGCTTAAAATACTAAAGAATTTCCACAGCGAAATACCTAATATAGCTTCAAAAATTATTGATAAAGGCTTTTCATTGTCATCTAAGTTTATGGACCACTTGTCACAACACATATTCTACCAAAAGGAGAAAATAGCTTTTATGAAAATTTACAAAGCAAAGCATTATTGTTTTAATCGATCATCAATTATAGCAGTACTGTTAATTAAATAAACCACACTTTCCATACCACAATCTATTATGTCTTTATCATATATTAAGATCTCTCATAGAACTGATTCTATTCCCAAATTTTACTTGACGTAAATATAGTTTATATTTTATTACTTCAAATGTAAAGATCCCTGTAATTTAATGATTTTGCTAGAGATTGAATTAACATAATTAATATCAATAACTTCTGAATTAACATCACATATATTTATTTCCCGATACTAAAGGTTTCAATTAGAAAACTTTATTTGAAAATGTCACTGAATTCTGTACAGATAGCCCCAGTGTCAAGCTAAGAGGAATGTCTCCAACTTTGGCGGAAATTTTAGAAAAACTTCCAGAATTTTTAATTTAGCATTACAAGTCAATACTTAAGTGATTCTGAATGATTCAATCCAAGATTTAAACAAATCACTTCTCAAAAAAATTTTAAATTGATTTACGTACACCCAATAAACATTAGATAAAAGAGTAACAAAATAAAGAGGTTGGCATCTAAATGACGAAAATCGAAAGATTATTTGGATTTTGGTGAGCAGGCTGAGGGCCTAGAGCTGCAAAAGCCACTCTGAAGTCATTCAACCTCTGGATCCACCTTAATACTGACTAGAATGAGAGCACTGAAACATTTGGAGAGTGAATTCTTAAGAGAGGTAGCTTTAACCCAGGCGTCCTCAAACTATGGCCCCCGGGCCACATGCTGCCCACCGAGGACATTTATCTGGCCGCTCACATGTTTTTGCCGCCGCTGCCTGTCCTGCTTAGCAGCCGACTCCTCTGAGGCCCACAGAGGACACTCTGCAAAGGTCTGAGGGACGGTGAACCGGCCCCATGTTTAAAAAGTTTGAGGACCCCTGCTACCTATGAAATGCTCAACGCAATGTCAAAAAATCCTTTATCATTATAATAAAAACACAGTTACTACAAAGATTAATTCAACTGAATATACATATAAAACAAAAGGAACAAAATTATGAGAGGTGAAAGCTATTATCAACAGAAATACATCTGTTACACTCTTTGGAAGAGAGCTAAGTAATCAATTTTAAAAGAAAAACCATAAAAATGTCAAATGAATTTCATGTAAATACATTTGTTTGATGACAAAAATAAAAAATGGAATTAACTTTTAAATTCTTCCGAATTGGTGAATCTAAAAGTGCAGTCCAGTGAAACTGGGATGATGGAAGGTGAGCCACACTTAATGTAAGTAAGCCAGATAACTACAGATGTCATTTCAATAAAAGGCAGAACCCTCTCCTTAGTACATCGGTGGCTGTCCCTCATTACAAGGAACTGCCACCAACTGGAGGACAAGGCAAGTGGAGCTCTGATTTAGTGGACGTGGAAGTTCAGGGCCACTGAGTGAAAGGACTTTTTCCTTCTGAGTATGTGCTTCCCTCCTGGGCCTTGTGTCAAGCAGGCAGGCAGAAAGGACCCTCTATCAGCTTACCTAAACTTATGCAGAATATGTACAGTTCTTGCTTTTCCATGGAAGAAAGGTGTTGTAGTCATTGTCTGAGGGTAATTGCTCCTTACTCTTTAGGGATGCCAACGTGAATTGAGAGACAGGGCAACGCCAGAGGAGGATTTAACCTTGATGCCAATGCTTCCCGTGACTTTCCTTGCATAGTCCCTTCCAAGGCAGTAGAAACTAAGTTTGCATTCATAGTTTCATGTTTTTTCTTAAAAGTATACCTCAGGTCCAACAAACTTCAAATCCATCCCAAGGAATGGGAGATTCCTGCCTTTGACGATGAAGCACTATGACTGTGCTGCTTATATCTTAAGAAATGAAATAATCCGAGGGTACAGGTTGTACTTGGAGGACTTTTTAAAATCTAGACTAGTTTCGGTGTTTTTAGATATTCCTGAAATTTAAAGGCAATGGCGTCTTTTAAACAATAAAATTCCTAATTTAATTTGCATTAAAAATCACAAAGTTATCTAAATTTAGAATGACTGTACAAACTTGCAAACAATTAAGAAATCAAGCAAAACTTTCTAATTCTTCATATTTGGTTGTCCTAAGAAAGCACTTGCTGGGAAAAAGTAAAGGTTCTGCAGTTGCCCAGTCACTGTAATTTTTCTATCTAAACAGGTTAATTAATTTAATCATCAACTCTATCTCAATATTCTTTCCCCCTTGGAAACAATGCCTTCTAAATTCATTTGAAAAAACATTATTCAATTGAGTTTGAAACCCTTTAGATAATGGTATCTACTTGAACATGAATATGACAATTTTTACAAGAGAAAAGGAAAACAAAATACTTTTAAGTCTATGCATAAAAACATCTAATGACTAATTGAAAAATTATTTATTATCCCGAATTGAAACTTTTGCTATCCTTCAAAAAGTATTTGAATAAGAAAAGGAAATTTAACTTTTCTTTAATGGCCTCAAGGTCTCTACCTCAACAGTATGAAGAAATATATAAAGATATCAGAAGAAGAGCAGCCAATAACTTAGTAATCATAAAAAGTATAAGGGGGGTTGCATGGGGTGGCTCACAGCTATAAACCTAGCACTCTGGGAGGCCCAGGCGAAAGGATCATTTGAGCTCAGGAGTTCAAGACCAGCCTGAGCAAGAGCGAGCCCCCGTGTCTAGTAAAAATAGAAAGAAATTAGCTGAACAAATAAAAATATACATAGAAAAAATGAGCCGGGCATGGTGGTGCATGCCTGTAGTCCCAGCTACTCAGGGAGGCTGAGGCAGGAGAATCACTAGAGTCCAGGAGTTTGAGGTTGCTGTGAGCTAAGCTGATGCCATGTCACTCTAGCCTGGGCAACAGAGCGAAACTCTGTCTCAAAAAAAAAGCGTAAGGGGGAAAGTATGGAAAGCCATAAGCCCACATACCTTTTTCCTGTAAAAAGGTAAATTTTAAACCTAAATTATGTCATTAAAGACTGAAAAGTTCTGAAATAAGATTTAAACCAAGAATTTTGAAGCTGTACACATGCCAAATAAATAAAATAATTCCAGTTCACTCCTATACTAACTCAAGACAAATCATTTGATGAATTGGTTTGTGAATTCAGATATGAAAAAGAAAAAGCTGCCTTCTCTCTAATGTTACAAGGAATAAAAATCAATACAAACATGCCAGGTTAGTTAGGGTTGGCTTCATGGGCATGCAACCTAGATAGATAACCTAAACAGGGTTGAATGCTCAGAAGTGACCTTAGTGTAATGGTCTGTTGTCCCTATCTTGAAATTCTTGCATCTCCATATTGAATTGGGCTTTATAAATTATGTAGTTAGTGTTGATTTTAGTATACGCCAAGATTTTTTTAAATAAATAAAAAAAAAGGCTAAATTAAATGAAACATAGATCTTGGATAAATTATTATCTGTAGTACTATTTGAATTCATGTAAATATCAGCACTCAACTGAATAAAGACAGTGTGCTAATGAACTGCCGATGCCATGTGGGTTCATTGACATACGCGGAGGAAAAAAGGTCCTGAATTATTAATTTAATTATTAAGTCATTAAATATGAAACTTCCGATTACAAAAGTGTAGTTTAGTATATCTCAAACAAGCAGCAGTACAATTAATCATGTATGTGCCTAAACTATTGCACAGTTTTGTCATCTTAATGGTAAGCTTCAAGAAGATTTCTCTTCTGATGCTCCTTTTATTCATCCAGTATCCACCTGTCCAACTTCTTTTTCTTTGTTTTTTTTTTTTTTTTTTTTTGAGACAGAGTCTCACTCTGTTGCCCAGGCTAGAGTGAGTGTCATGGCATCAGCCTAGCTCACAGCAACCTCAAACTCCTGGGCTCAAGTGATCCTCCTGCCTCAGCCTCCCAAGTAGCTGGGACTACAGGCATGTGCCACCATGCCTGACTAATTTTTTCTATATATATTAGTTGGCCAATTAATTTCTTTCTATTTATAGTAGAGACGGGGTCTTGCTCTTGCTCAGGCTGGTTTCCAACTCCTGCCCTTGAGCAATCCGCCCACCTCGGCCTCCCAGAGTGCTAGGATTACAGGCGTGAGCCACCGCACCAGCCCACCTGTCCAACTTCTTTACCTTGATGATTTGTTTCAAATGGACCAATATTGTTGTATTAGTAACGTTAGACCTTGCTGCTGATTGACGCACAGACTGAGGTGGATTCCCTTCCACTACAGCTTTCAGCACATGTTGTCTACCTTGGTCTCAAGTCGCCCACATGGCTCATTTTCAAGACTGAAGTCACCAGAATGGAACTTCTCAAACCATCCGAGTACTGTGGGTTCATTATCCACACTCTTCTCCAACACTTCATTGGTATTTTGAGCTGTCTGTGCTGCATTGGATCCATGAGGGAAATCATATTTGCAAATAGCATAAACTTTTGACTTATGCATGGTTCCAAAAAAATTGCTTTAAAAATAAATTTGACAGATAATCACAAGCCAAAACATGCATTTGTAAGAGTGAGATGCATTTGCAAGATGCATGCATTTGCAAGATGTACCTTCACAATAAAAACAAAACATGAAGTGTCAAAGTGAAATGTCAGCAATATCAACTGTCAAACTTAGTACTTAAGCAAATAGGACATTTCATACTTAATAACCTAATATCTTCCGGGGTCCTCAAACTTTTTAAAAAGGGGGCCAGTTCACTGTCCCTCAGACCTTTGGAGAGTGCACACTCTGGGCCCAGTAGGAGTCGGCTGCTAAGCAGGGCAGGCAGTGGTGGCAAAAGCACCTGGTGGGCCAGATAAATGTCCTTGGCAGGCGGCATGTGGCCCGTGGGCCGTAGTCTGAGGACACCTAAATTCTAAATTATCCTCATGGTGAGCCTTGGGAGCCTGTTCAAAAGTATGGAACACTGTAAGTCGGGTCATCTATAACCTGGGGACTGCCTGTATTCTTGTCCAAGCTAATACTTAAAATGTAATTGGCAAGATGACAAGAATACATGAAGAACCTAGAAATTAATTTGATTGCCTTTAGGTAAATCAATAACATCAACACTCTAATAGGAGAGGATACTACATGCTTGAGAAAGTGAAAATAGTATAATTTAAAAATAACTTAGGCCAGATATGGTGGCTCACCACTGTAATCCTAGCACTCTGGGAGGCTGAGGCAGGCGAATTGCTGAGGAACTAAGGAGATCAAGACCAGCCTGAGAAAGAGCCAGACCCCATCTCTACTATAAATAGAAAGAAATTAATTGGCCAACTAGTATATATAGAAAAAATGAGCCAGGCATGGTGGCACATGATTGTAGTCCCAGCTACTCGGGAGGCTGAGGCAGCAGGATCACTTGAGCCCAGGAGTTTGAGGTTGCTGTGAGCTAGGCAGATGCCACGGCAATCACTCTAGCCTGGGCAACAAAGCAAGACTCTCTAAAAAAAAAAAAAAAAATATGTAACCTTAACATTTGTACCCCCATAATATACTGGAAAAAATAAATAAATAAAAAGAAGATACCTTACCCTGGACTCATTTTGGGAAAAAAAAAAAAAAAGAAGAAGAAGAAGAAGAAAAGATTGTAGCATATTCATCTTACAAATAATAGGCTGTGTTTAGACAACAAAGGAAGAATTAGTCTTTCATTCTATGCTCTTCCCTTGCTGCCACCAACACTCCTTGTTCATTAGCATGTTTTTCCTGCAAAATATTTTGCCAACCCAATTTTCTTTTCTTCATGCTCCCATTCTAAGTATGAACAAATCTCTACACCTTCTTACACTTTTAGGAAAATAATCACTCTCAATTCTGTGAGTTGTTGTTCTATTTTCAAGAGGCGTTAAGTATGTTAAGTGTGTGATTCCAGGGTGAACTCCTTTCTCCTTGCTTTGTTGAGTTTCCTAACACATGTTAAAGACAATGATAATGTTCAAAATGAAGAGCACTACTGCATTTATTGGATCCATTTCTGTAGATAGGTCTAAGTAATGAGGAATAATCTGTGTACATGTGTGCACTTTCTTCTTAACTCTTCTTTGGCTAGGTCAGCTAGCCAGTGGTTACTAGTATCATGAGCAAAACTGACAAAGTTAAACATGTGTGACCTGAAAAAGAAAAAAAAGAAAAAGTTAAATAAAAATGATTTTATTTACTAGTGAGAAACACTGATTTTTACTTACTATGTGATAAATTATCAAAAAGAATTGGTTAATGTAGGGTGCAAAACAAATGAAAAATTAGTAAGTTACAGACAATAACAACTTTCTGCAAGTATAGTTTAGTAGCTATAGCAACAGCTAAAATGTGACAGTTGGGTTTTTAGTTTCTTGACATTAATAGTGGCCAAGCTAGAATCAATTAACATATACATTCGGATAATAAGTCAATGAATCCCTATTTGAGGGAAATAAAAAAAATATTTAAATGAATAAAAATTAAAAAGTCAATTAAAGAAACCCTGAATACTACATGTAGAACAGAGGAAAGAGTCATTGAGAGACTAGGAAAGTTTGAAAGATACATTCACATCAAGTTATTTTTATGTAATAATTTTGTATAAAGACATAAAAGATATATCTTTTAAGATCTATAAACATGACCTACAAAAAAGATATTTTAACACATATTGTCATATTTCTTAAACACTGAGAACCCTAAAAGCCACAAGCAAAAGGAGAACCATATACAAGATAGACCAAGTATCTCATGAGACAAATTGTCATAATGGAAACATTCTTTGTAAATTCCACTGTATAATCCCTTGCTCCCATAATATTTGTGCCATTATAACATTACAATAAACTGAGTGCAAAGTACAGGATGAGATAACCGTACTGCTAACAAGTCCAGAACTATGATGTGTCACAGTAATGACAGATTCAACGTGTTAGTCATGCATTCAATAAAGAAGAAATAGTTCTGGCAACAGTAGAAATTTAATTAAGCCCCTGTTAGCCTTTATAAGTCATGGAGAAAGCCCAAACACCTGTATTACAACATACAGAAATACGATTTTATTAAATCACATATACCTTTTATAATTTACCAGAAGATCTTATTTCTGAGGTATCAGCAGTCACACTTAAGTATAAAACATAACATTGTTTTGTTGTTCCCATGTATTTTATAAAAGCTGAAGAGTAGAGAAGAAAAAAAAATATCTGAATTACATAATTTTAATTTAAAACAGCAGAATTAGCAGTTGTTTACACTCGCATCCCTAAACTAAAATTTATCATAGAAATCCAATGCTTGTAAAAGAAAGAAATCAATCCTTTGCTAGACAAACACAAAAAATCTCGAGATGAAGTTACATTCTCACTTTCATATTCATTAACTATATCCCCTGTTCTAATAAAGATGAAATATTTGATTAAATGAGTATGAGATCAAAAGGCTAACCAGGCTAATATAAAGTTAACTCGTACCCTCCACACCTTATACTTCTAAAATAAGGCAAGTGGAGTGTTTCTTACATGTACATGTAAAAGGCAAATTCTTTGTTAGAGGTCTGGATGAATTTCCTTCTGATTCAGAAATAGAAAAGAAGGTTTACCGCAAATTTCCAATGAGACCATTCAAAAAAATACAGCAGTCCCCTCATTCATGGTTTCAGTTACACGGGGAGACATGCACCCTGAAAATAGGTAAACACAGTACAATAAGATATTATGAGAGACAAACCATATTTACATAAGCTTTATTACAGTATATCGTTATAATTGTTCCATTTTGTTACTAGTTGCTAGTAATCTCTAACTGTGCCAATTTGTAAATTAAACGTCTTATCATTGGTATGTATGTAAAGGGACAGGTTCTATCTGTGCTTCTAGGCATCCACAGGAGCTCTTGGAACATGTGCCCTACAGATACAGGGGGATACAGTATTCTCCCACCTTCTAAATTCTAGCACCTTTTGTCCTGTTAAAAGTATCATGGCCAATCACTTTACCAAAGTACGTGAAGAAACTGATGGAAGCCAGAGAAGACCTGGCAAATCTCATTCCACCCCTTCCTGACCCACAAAACCCAAAAGCACTAGCTTTGGTAACCCGATAATACTCTATAAATTGGTAATTTATAATTTGATAAATCAGTAATACTATTTCAAAAGGAGATCTGGAGCAAATGCAAAAATGTACGTAAGATTGGCGGTTTAATTTTTTTGGAGTAATTTTGCTGAGGCATCTGTACCAACTTCACTCACTTTCTGTGACTTACAACTCTGGTAGTTTTTGCTGGCCTCTAAACCACATTCCTAAAAAGTTTCTAAAAAACCTAGAGAAAAAGTTATCTCTTACCACATTTGCTATTGTAACATCTAGAATATTTTATTGGTATTAAACAAATACCTGAAAAACTATTAACTGCTACTCCTCTCCCTGGACTTAATGGTCAAATATTTTACAAAAAGGTTGACCCATTTAGTGATTAAAAAAATATTTACATATGTAGCTTATAATAGGTTTAAGTAATATTGTAATTTAAGGAAAAAGGAAGGAGTGATAGGAGTTAAAAAGGTAAATAGCTGACATCATCCAAAGAATTAAAACAGGCAATTTAACAACAGCATTAAAAGATAGTTTTGTTAATTAATAAAACAATGAACTCTCATGGGCAGCCTGGAAATCACTGAAGATTGTATGAACTCCACAATTACTTTCCTGAGTAATTAAATCGACGAAGCAGAAGAGCCCCAATTTAAATCTTTGTTTGTTAACAGGATACATCAGAGCTGGCCATCACATTTATACTTAATATAGGAAGACTCAATGCAGACTAGATACTTCAAATAATACTGATTTGGTGTGTGTGTTGCTGTTTTAACATGAGTGCTTACTGTGTGCCAATTAATGTTCTAAGCACCTCACGCGTGGCAACTCATTTGAGCCTTACTACGACCTCATGAGGTAGGTACTATCTTTCCTCCATTTTACAAAGGAGAAAACTGAGGCATGAAGAGGTTAAACTGCTCACAGTCACACAGCTCCTTGATGGTAGATCCAGAATTCAAACCGAGCAGTCAGACTCCAGAGCCTGCCTTCCTAACCACTGGGCTGTTTGGGGCTTCACTGGCATCTATTTATAAATATAACTCAGCACAAGGCCCAATCATAGGCAATTTCACAGTATGTTCAAGGCTGATTTTTCCTAGCTTTCTTTGCTGCTGTATAACACACAGATACTATGAGAGATTATAATGAGTAGAAAAAAGGGTGAGTTGGTTAGTAGATCACAAACTGAGACTTTGGCTTTCAAGGCACTTTCCTTTGAAATGTGGTTAGTGTTCTTGAAAATACTGAGTGGGGGGAGACATCAATTCTAGTCATCCAGGATAATAATTACAGATATAAGCAATGAAGAGTCAGCATGTCAAAAAATGTAATAGAGCTAACAGAGTTATGCACTGATATTAGCATAAAATTTTACTGGAAAGAAGCTAAGAGCACATTTTTTAAAAGCATCACAATATCTGCTCACCTAGAATTTCCATAGTCCCAAGCCTAAACCTATGGAACCAAATATTACCACAGCAGCAATAACACCTTGAGTGGGAAAAATACGGTAACATGGTTAATAGAAATAGGAGCAATTACATATTTCATTACATTAGTATGTCATAGTTTCACATGATATACATATTGGTTCTAAAATTATAGAAAAAGTAGGAGACATTAATTGCATTTTGTATATGGCTTCCTATGGCACAAGTTCGAAAATAACATTGCATGTTATTTGTTCTGTTTTCTTTGAAAGACAAAGAAATGAAATATTTAAGGAAAAGGGTGACAATCTTCAAATACAAATTTTTGATAGGTTTGAGAGGATTCTAAAGTGTTTTGAGCCAACCGTGCTCAATTTTCAATGTTCTGATCACTGATCATTCAAATACGATGATGGAATTATATCATTTTAGAGCAGAAGGTATCATAAAGCTCATTCTCATTTTGTAGATAAATAAACTAAGTCTCAGAAAGACGGAAGTTACATATGTGGTCAATGGGAAGGCCTCTTAGTTAGTTCAGAGCACAGATAAGAGATGTGTAGGCATTTCCCCATCATAGAAAAGATGCCTGTCTTATCATCTGAGATTAGAGGGCAAAATATATTTACTTTGCCTACAAAGGATATGCTCTGCAGTGTTCAGTCTATTGTATTAAGAGATGAAATTTCATTTAGGAAAGCTATATTCACTTGAAGCTGAAGAGCCCTTTTTTGAGCAAAACAGCAGCAAATAATTGGTCAAATATAGTGGTCAACGTCAAATCATTTTCGCACTTTGCTTTCTATTGTTTCATCTTATAAAAACCCATTTGCCATCTTCTCTTACCATCCTCATTCTCCCTTTCCTTCTCCAACATCTCCCACCCCCGAAAAAACCCTGGACTCTACCCTTTTGATCTGTACTGCAAAGGAAATCATCAGTGACAGTACAAAAGCAACTGAAGCTAATGTTCCTAAGTGAGTAATATGTTTGATTAATGTCTAATTGACAATTGTCTAATTTGACAATTGTCTAATTTGACAATTGTCTAATTAGACAATGAGTTGGGCAGTCTCTTGGCCTGTCACTAGGATAACAATCTTTCTATGATTTAAAGTGTCTGGTACTTGGCCAGGCATGGTGGCTCACACCACAGTCCCAGCACTCTGGGAGGCTAAGGCAGGTAGATGATTCAACATCATTTATGCATAATGATATTGTATCAGTAATAAAAAGTCCCCCAATAAAATAAGTCCAGATTGGATGGCTTTACTGCTGAATTCTACTAAACTTTCAAAATTAGAATTCCCACTAATTTTTCTCAAACTATTTCAAAAAGTTTAAGAGAGGGGAATTCTCCCAAGCTCATTCTACAAGGCTAGCATTAACAGAAATGGTATGATGTGTGATAGGGTTTTCACAGTAAACCAGTGGAGGCAGGGGGAAGTGGGTATCCATGAGTTGATGATTGTTGAATTAGGGTGGGCCCACAGGGATTCACTGTACTGTTTTCCTTACCTGTATGATGTTTAAAGTTTTCCATAATAGTAAGTTTAAAAACAAATAAATAAATGGCAGGACAAATTAAGAAAAAGAAGACAATATTCTCTTCCAGAAATACGGATTGTTCATTCCACAATGATAACAGTCACTGCCTGAGAGCCAAACTTACCAGGTATAAATGTGGAAGAATCTACAGAAAAGGAAGGGGAGAAAAAAAAGAATTACAAAAATAAAAATTTTTAAAAGTCACTGATGGCTTAGCAATTTAATATAACATCAATAAGCTACACTTGAAATCTCTAAAGCAACTCAAATTTTGGTAAATCAACGAATTGTAAATAAATTTATGAAAATAACTACACATTACCTTAATCAAATAAAAAACACCACTGTCTCTATCTGTTCAACGGAATAAACACTATTAACATAAATTATAATAAAGAGTTACTGAATGCCAAAACAAACACCATCTAAATTTGGTTGTATCATTTGATGGCAAGAAAGAAGTTTGAGAAGCTTGAATAGTAAATAACTGCTGATTCAATCCTACTACCAAGAAACTATAAGAAACTCAAGTCCCATTCTATCAAAACTCAAAATTACTGTATCACCTTATTATTTTTATCTTTTAATGACCACGGTAAAATAAACTTTAGTTTGAAATAAGTACATTCATAATAAATAAGCTGCTTTCTAGTGAGGTGAATAAATTTACTCACAGTACCATTTAGAACAGGCAATATTACACAGCAGAAAAAGCACAGGATGTGGAGCCAACCACATGTGTTTGACTGGTTAGTCAACCAGGATGTGTTTAAACTTCCCCATTCACTATGCACTGGATGTGAGCTGTGCAAGTTATTCTCTGAGCCTCTAATTCTGCATCTATAAAATGAAACTAAATATACTGATATTGTAGGGACTGGTAACAACAAATAGATGGTACAGGGTATATGACACGATACTACATACCCAATAAGTGGTAACTACTATGATTTTTCAATAAGTGCTAAATTTGATATGTTATATTGTACCCTGAGAGAGAATCAATTAATTTTACGTAAGAGCAAATTTCATAGACTTATTATATATTTGTGTATTTAGTATATATTAATTATATTTTATATTTTTATCCTCCTATTCACTCATTAGTTTAATTTCTTCAATTATCTTGAACTTTCTACATATCTTTTACTGTTGAAAGAAATATTTGAACACTTAGGTCTACAACAAATTTATATAAAGTGAAATTTATTTGCTTTGACTTGCCTTATTAAAATGTGGGGACATACAATCTAAAAATTTTAAACCCAGAAGATGGCGGACGAGAAACACTGCCAGACAGAGTGTCTCTGCAGAAAGACAGATTCTAGGAGAAATCAGAAGAAGCAAGCAGACGAGCATACATCAGGCCAGGGTCGGAAGGAGGGGTACCTGAGACCATGGGAGGAGGCTTCAGAGGAAAACTGGAAGCAGAGACTTCCCGAGCAGCCTGGAGACCAGCGGCAAGGATAGGTGGCGTGGTTAACTTTCCCCTCCATTGCATCTCAGGCTGCTGGTGGGCTCCCCGACGGATGGAGAGACCTATGGACACCAGCCCAGAGAGGCCACCACCAGCGAGCGGTATGCCTGTAGCGGACTAGGCCAGGCTACCTACTCCCGTGGGCACCTCCCTGAGTACAGACCCGAGCCTCGCGGCAGGCGCCATGTTGCCTCATTCTCCCCTCCCCCGACCCTATCCGAGGCTGCCGAGAGAGACAATATAGCCACCAGCCGGAGGCACCTACAGGGAATGCGACCTTCCCTTTTGGGGCTCTACAGCTGACTGATGGGAACTCAGACGGTGAGCTCCCTAGCCGCCAGCCCTCCCAGGTGCTGCTAGCCCGGTGATCTCTGAAGAAAGGGGCAGACCCTGAGGCTGAGAGACATCAACCCAGCTTGGGCTCCTATGGGTGAATTAGGATTGGCACTCCTCTCCCTGGTGGGGTTAGGGATTGAACTCTGGGGCCCAGAGGTCAGACCTGCGGACCAGATGCCGTGCACTCAGGTCTCGCATTGCCCGGGGCACATAAGGGATATACGTGAACAGCCTATTGAGGTGTGTGTGCCTACAGAGGCAGATCAGCGTCCTTGAGGGCAACCCTCCTCCCAAGGGGGGCCATTCACCCAGCCCAGGCGGTGATCCTGTGCAGGGAACCTCCTGGCTGGCATCACAGCCAGCAGAGGCCCAGTAGCATGAGGTCTGGCTTGCTGGCAGAGGCCTAGGAGTAGCTGCGGAGTTGGGGAGGGTGGAAAGGAGCGAGGCCTGCTCCAGACTGCAGGTCTCAGACGGCCCCACCCCACACGCAGACTTTCTGACTGAGCGGGGCCATTCCAGTCCCTCCCTGATAGCTTTTCCGAGAAGCAGAGAACAGAACTTTGACCCCTGCTAACGGCATTGGTGATGCCTGAGGGCAGGCTTACACAAGCCAGCTCCACCCAGACTTACTCCCAGACCAGCCCTCACTGAGGGGGAGAAAAGGACACACTTGGAGGTCCCAGGGCCCCACCGAACACCAGAGGCAGTAGAGTGCCTATCCAGGGAAACAAAAACTGAATACGTGACCAAAAAGCAATAGTGTAGCCTGTTCCTCCAAGGGAGCACCACCTACTGACAGGGAGGACTTTCTGCACACCCTTTTCACGGCACCTACTGACTCATCATACAGGGTGTGGTCGAATCTCACCCACAAATACCACCTACCGGCTCAGAGACTAAACAAGGCATGTCAACACCCAAACGAAAACCTAAAGGAAAGAAACAACTGATCCAGATGGGAAGAAATCAGCAAAGGAATTCCAGAAATATGAAGAACCAAATGGAAACCACACCACCAAAGAGGAGCACCAGCCCGTTAGAAACGGACACCAACCAAAATCAGGCAACCAAAATGACAGAAGAGGAATTTCGAATGTGGATCATAAGAAAATTCAACGACCTGCAAGAACAACTGGATAACCAACACAAAGAAAACACAAAGAGACTCCAGGACTTGGAACAAAAATTCACTAAAGAAACTGTTACGATGAAGAAAAGTTAAACCCAACTCCTGGAAATGAAGAATCAATTCAGGGAACTACAAAACACAGTGGTAAGCCTCAAGAACAGGGTAGACCAAACAGAAGAAAGAATCTCAGAGATTGAAGATAACACCTTTCAATGAAATAAATCAGTCACAGAGATAGAGCAGAGAAACAAGAGAAAAGAGCAAAGCCTACAAGAGCTGTGGGATTATGTGAAGAAACCTAATGTGAGGGTCATAGGGTTACCAGAAGGGGAGGAAGACAACACTCAAGGGTTGGACAAGCTATTTGAAGATATAATAGAGGAAAATTTCCCTTGTCTTCCTAAAAAATCTCGATATACAAGTTCAAGAAGCTCAAAGGACCCATGGGAAATTCAATGAAAACAGGAAGACGTCACGACAAGCAGTCATCAGACTGACCAAAATATCAACTAAAGAGGCCCTTTTAAGAGCTGTAAGATGAAAGAAGCAAGTAACATACAGAGGAAAGCCAATCTGAATAACACAACACTTCTCTAGTGAGACTTTACAAGCAAGGAGAGACTAGGGATTCTAAAACAGAACAATGCCCAGCCGAGAATCTTACTCCCTGCAAAGCTAAGTTTTGTATATGACGGAGGAATCAAGACATTCTCAGATAATCAAACACTGAGGGAATTCACCAAGACAAGACCAGCCTTTCAAGAAGTATTCAAAACAGTGTTACCCACAGATCAGCAAAATAAATACTCATGAATGTAAATCTACTCAAACAAGGATCAAAGCCCAGATACCACAATGGCTCAAGAGAGAAAACAAAGCAACAAAGTTCAACCCAAATGGCTTGAACTCCCCAATCAAGAGACACAGGCTGGCTGAATGGATAAAAAAACACAACCCAAGTATCTTCTGCCTTCAGGAAACACATCTAACCTGCAAAGATGCAGTTAGACTAAAAGTAAAGGGGTGGAGAATAATATTTCAAGCAAATAGGAGCCAAAAGAAAGCGGGCATGGCGGTGCTGATTACAGATAACTTAGTTTTTAAATCAACAAAAGTAATAAAAGACAAACAAGGTCACTATATAATGGTGCAGGGTACAGTTCAACAAGAAGACATAACAATTATAAATATATATACAACCAACCTTGGTGCACCCAGATTCATAAAGCAAACTCTACCTGATCTAAATAAATGGATAAACAACAACATAATAGTCAGAGACTTGAACACCCCACTGAGAGCACAGGACAGATCCTCCAAACAAAAACAAAGAAATAATGGACTTGAACAGAACTCTAGAACAAATGGGCCTGACTGACATTTACAGGACATTCTACCTCAAACCACTGAATATACATTCTTCTCATCAGCTCATCGGTCATTCTCTAGGATTGACCATATCCTAGGACACAAAGCACATCTCAAACAATTTTAAAAACAGAAATTATACCACAATGGAATAAATGTAGAAATCAATCCTAACAGGAGTTCTCATTTCTACACAAAGTCATGGAAACTAAACAACCGTCTGCTGAATGATCACTTCATAAATGAAGAAATCAAGATGGAAATCAAAAGATTCTTTGAACTACATGACAAAGGTGACACAAGTTACCAAAACTTGTGGGACACAGCTAAAGCAGTCCTGAGAGGAAAGTTTATTTCCATAAATTCCTATATCCAAAAGTCAAAAAGATCACAAATAGACAACCTAATGAATCATCTCAAAGAGCTGGAAAAAGAAGAACAGACCAACCCCAAACCCAGCAGAGAGGTGAAATCATTAAGATCAAATCAGAACTAAACGAAATTGATGACAGGGAAACCATACGGAAGATTAATAAAAGGAAAAGTTGGTTCTTAGAAAACATAAACAAAATTGACACACCATTGGCTAGAGTAATGAAAAGCAGAAAGGAAAAATCTCTAATAAGCTCCATCAGGAACAGTAAAGGAGAAATTACAATTGATAGCCCGGAGATACAAGATATAATTTATGAATAATGCAAAATCCTCTATGCACACAAACTGGAAAATGTGGAGGAAATGGACAATTTCTTAGAAACACACAGCCTCCTTAGGCTCAAACAGGAAGACATAGAATTCCTGAACAGACCAATATCAAGTACTGAAATTCAAACAGCAATAAAAAACCTTCCTAAAAAGAAAAGTCCTGGACCAGATGGTTTCACACCCGAATTTTACCACACCTACGAAGAAGAGGTGCCTCTTCTTCACTCTGCAGATGCCTATCCTGCAGAAATTATTCCACAACATTGAGAAGGATGGACACCTCCCCAACACATTTTATGAAGTGAACATAACCCTGATAACAAAACCAGGAAAGGATGCAACAGAAAAATAAAACTACAGAGCAATATCCCTTATGGATATACATGCAAAAATTCTCAACAAAATCCTAGCCAATCGAATCTACGTGCTTGTCAAGAAAATAATTCATCACAACCAAGTGGGCTTCATCCCAGGGATGAAGGGATGATTCAACATACGCAAGTCTATAAATGTAATTCACCATATAAACGGATGCAAAAACAAAGACCATATGATTCTCTCAATAGACACAGAAAAAGCATTTGACAAAATTCAACACCAGTTTATGATAAGAATGCTGAACAAAATAGGCATAGACGGGGCTTACCTAAAAATGATACAAGCCATATATGACAAACCCACAGCCAATATCGTACTGAACGGGAAAACATTGAAAGCATTCCCACTTAGAACTGGAACAAGACAAGGTTGCCCACTATCTACACTTCTATTCAACACAGTGCTGGAAGTCCTCGCTACAGCAATCAGACAAGAGAGCGGAATTAAGGGCATCCAAATGGGAACAGAAGAGATCAAACTCTCACTCTT